CAGTTCAGCTATAATATTCATTTAATGTAGCGCGTTTATACATTTAGGCCAACACTATTTAGTATTAAAATACCATCAGTTCTCATTGAATGCAGATGAATAACTATACTGTGGTTAATATTTGTGGAATAGCCTGAGTTGTTGCTAAGGCCTCATAGCATACTGTAACTACGAGCTTATTACATCTGACTTACTTAATAGATCAGCACAGTATTTCTCCCTTGTTGTTGGTGGTGTATGCATTTACCTGCAGACAAAAATATAGACACGTATATAATTTTATCATTTGCATATTCTTAAGTCTATATTTCACAGATCTTTTTTTAAAGTGGCTCTAAACTTTAAAGTTGGTATACTGTTTGTCTGCATGTTGTCATTTGCAACCCTAATTTCCTCTCAACAACATCCAGAACATCCTGTTTTTTTTCACAAGGACTTTTAGGACAATCCACTATGAATTATGTTATTCTAAGGTTTAATTTAGAATTGATAGGTTATCTCATACCCAATTGAACCAAATAGCTGAGGAAACACACAGTTAAAATACCAAAATATCCCCTCATAACTAAGAATAAACTTAGACACTAAAAGTGACTTTGAGCTTTCATATTTATGTGACCATGTTAGATAAAAAAAACAACATTTAGTGTAATAAAGGACTATTATTTGCTGCAGACCCTGGTCTGAAGCCACTACTACCTGTTAAATGACAAGCTCTGGGAAATACCTTTTATTTTCCTGCTTGGAACCAAGTGCACTATAGATTTTGCATTAGCAAATTATTGCACCCTCAGGGAAGAGCATTTTGTGCACATGGTGGTGCATGATTTGGAACTTCGAGCTCCTCTAGTTTAGAACAACACAACTGTGTTGGCCTAAAAGTTTCCCTAGGGATAAAAGGAAGAAAGGACTTCTTACGTTCTTATATGTCCAAGAGTCCAAAGAGTGTATACATGGGGAGGGGGGGTTAAGCTTCGGCAAGCACATTTTATGGCTACTTTAAGCAATGTTCTTTGTACATACTGTATTGAATGACCTGTGTGCTAAATATGCAGATTCCTTTTACATCAGTCACTTACATATTTAGAGGCCCCTGTTTGTGCAGTTTAGCACCGATGTGAGTCTATGTGAGAGATATAAACTGTACTGAAGATTTTTGTGTAATCCCGCTAAGCGCTGAAGCATGTCGAGAAGAAGGATCTGTCCTCAGCTCTGATCACATAGTCTACAAGAGCCGCGACAGAGGGGAAGAAGGAGAAAGATGGATAGACAGGGGAATGCTAGGGAAGAAAGGGGGAGATGAACATGAAATGAACAAGTGATGGAGAGAGAATGACAGACATAAAGCAGGGGAGCAGAGAGTGTGGAAGTAACAACAATAGAAGGGAGGGCTGTATCTCAAATGGGGGGTTTTCAAGGCATCTAGGGGATGAAAAAAAATTGAGGTAAAGACAGACAGGACAGAAAGCACCAAAGAGAGATAAAAAGGCACATAAGGAGAGTGATGGTGGAGAAAGGATGACAGAGTGGGGCTGAAAAGAATGAAAGAAGAGATGAAAGAATGAGACGTTAACTGATACGTAAAATGCTCTCAGGATTGGCTTGATCTCTTATTAGTATTTTTTTTTCTCTCCTCTGACTATATGTTCTTCGTTCCACCTCTTGTGCATTCAGTGAGAGATCCCTCATCTAAACTGCTGCACACAGGGAAGTGGGCCCCTCTCTAAGCATGGCGGCCCCTCAGCTGACTGGCTAATTGCAGAGATATCACTGTGTCAAATGACTAATAGAGTTTCCCTTTCCGTCGCAAATCTGCCAGCGGGAGCACGGCCACGATTTGTTTACTCTATGCCCAAGCGAGGGAATGCAATGATAGACCGTCCTTTTTATTTATTCTCAAACACAATTTCACACTGCCAGAGTGTAAGGTGTGAGAGGTGTTAGTGGAACATGCATGTGTTTATGTGTCTGCCAGTATACAAACACACACACGCACCACTTTCCATGATGTGCCTTATATTTTGTAAAACAGTAAAAAGAGTTTGCCTTCTGCTATTTTCCTGCAGTGGAAACCGACATTTTTTGTTGACTTGTTGGAAAATAAAAATACTCTACCAGGCTAAAATCCAATTTTACCTTGAATTTTACTTAAAGAAGTAGAACGACTTGCTGTGATACATTCTAATAAAAGCAGGGCTCTGGGCAAATTCTTTATAGGAATACCTCTGAGCCTAGTGACTGCTCAAGGACAGCAATATTGAAGGGAAGCACATACATGTAGTTATTACAGATTATGCTCGGTTTAACTCTGTGATTTTTATATCTGAACAATATTGATTCTTAATCCTTATGCATAGTTTCAGAGCAGAAATTTTGACTCAGGGTAAATTAAGCTTCTAGTCTGTTTCCCCTGTTAAAATTATAGTATTGACTTTTTTTAACCTGTTTTACCATCTATATTCATCTTTTGTAATTATTTTTTTAGTAGGTGCTGATCAGGGCTCATTAAAAGACAGATCGATTTAAATGAGGAACAATCCTGAGAGTGATTCTGTAAGAGGCTGTAAAAGACTTTATACTACGCTTCGACTTCCAGCAGAACAACAACACTCAAAATCAGCTTAAAAATATTTGGTTGAATGGTCCAAAGTCTAGACCTGATCTGAATTGGGAATCCATTGGTGGATTTGCTGTCAGTATTTCTGTGTAAAATCTTAGGAGAAAAAAAGCTAAAAGCCTTCTGGTTAATATTGCATCAATTGGTTGTTTAACAATCTTTTGAATTAGGGGAGCTAAATACAAACATATTACACTTAACAGTCCAATATATACAGATGAAATACTTTTAAGTTTGATAAAGCAGCACATATTCATAAAAAATGTTAAAAGATGTGAATCATTCTGCAAAGCATTGGAAGTATGTTCCTGCATTGTTTTAATATGAGCAGTTGTGACACAGAAACCCATGAATTCTGTAATAGCTTTAAAGGTCAGCTAATTTGTCAGGAGACTCATTTGTCAAAGCAATCAGGAAAGACAGTTTCATACTGAATGGAAAAAGAGGGGGTGTAAAAGCTGAGTGTACATATTCCACAAGTGAAAATTCAGAATAAGTGAGGTTAAAACCTTAGTCAAGAAGACTTCCTCTCTGTCCCCTACCCTGTCTACATTTTATCCCCACTTACCTTCTTAGTTTCCTTTCACAGCCTCTCACCAAGAATATTCCTTTTCACTGGTCACAGCTCAATCTGCTGGAGAGAGAAAAGGACAGCTCTCTTTTTTCCTATGGTAGACTATTTGACCAACTCTTCTGCCTTTTGCTGTTCTTCCATTCCATCTTTTGCTCAGGGGTATGTCCTATTTGGATGTCATGTCTCTCAGTGAGTGCACAGTGAAAGTGGTATTGTTAGCCTAAAGCCCTGGCTACTAATGAGACGTTGAGAAGGACAGACTCACCATGGACACTATTTAAAGCGTATAGAGACGATTTGTCTCTGATGGGATGTACTCTGCACCATTACCTTTCTATACTCTTCCTCTCTTACTCCAACTCTTGGTCTTTTTAAGCTGCTCCCCTGTCAATTTTTAGCTGAATCATTTTTTTTTTGCCTTAGCAAATTTTTTGGATTTCCACATTCAGGCGGTATCAGAATGTCTCATGCAGTCAGCATTACCCATCGTTGTTCTTTTAAACCCAGAAAAGAACGTATATCAACACCATTTTTTGATTTCTTTTTTATCTAAATAATATTTAAAAAAGGTGAAAAAAAGGGGCTTGATATGTGATTCTGTTAGGGGATGTCCTTCTTAATCATGCAGCTGAAGCATGTCAGATATGTCTTTGTGTGTGTGTGTGTGTGTGGGTGTGTGTGTGAGAGAGAGAGAGAGTGAGAGTGAGAGGGGTGAAATAGAGACACAAGAGGGCTGCGAAGGTCAAGCAAATGCCAGCTCTCAAGATAGCACTAAAGAGCAAGTTTGTTGGTCACATAATGATGAGACACTCAGCCTTGAAAGACACTCGGAGACACACAACAAGTTATTTCATTTGTGATTGCATTGTCCTTGCATGTATGCATTTATGTTAAGTGTCTTTGCTTTACGGCTTGACAAGCAGAGATGCTCTCTGATTGTGAGAAGAGGCCCATTGGTCTGTGTTAAAGTGTTAATCACATGGTCCCATATTGATTAAAAGACTATGATTTCTTTCAATTCCTGAAGAACAGTTTGTGTGGTTTTACATGTGTGTGTGTGCGTGTTTTAGTGTACGGATAGCTTGGTCCAAAAGACAGATGAGATGTACCTCCTTCAACAGTTTGTCTCACTACAGCCAGAGGAACAAACCCCCTAGACCCACATCAACATCTTGATATATTGCGGATCCAGGGATGATGTAGGAAAAAGCGAAAGCTGCAAAGTCTGTGCTGCCTGTTTGCATCTATTACTATACTCATATAAGATTATCAACTCTAATGAGAAATACAGAAGCTTGGAATATATATATATATTACAGAATTAATGGGTTTCTGTGTCACTTACATATATGTATGTTTTTTATATTCTCGAAACTTCTCCGAATAAATTTCTTTTACTCCATCATGATACTGGAACTACCTCTAAACATATTTTTCTAACACTGCAACGGATACTGGGTATAAGTTAAATCTAGCCAGAGAAGAAAAAATTTACCTACTGTATTGAGCTGTAATAAATTATATTAAATGTATGTATTCATTGTCAATAAACATTTTAGTATATATAAATATGTATTTTAATGTAATGTTGATCTACAGTTTTCAATTTACAGGCTTGTTTTTAATAACCTACTTTTCCAACCTTTCCTGCCTTTCTGTACTTCCTCTCCTTTCCTATGCTTGCCTTCTTGTCCCTTCTTCCTCTCCATCTCTTCCCCTCATTACTCTCTTCTATAGACTTGATGATGCATGTCCATAGCCACGTCCGTGACCTAAGTTATGTCCTCTGTCCGTACTTTGCCCCCATAGCACCCTCCTCCCCTGGTGTAGACTCGACCCCTTTGCAGCGAACAGGAAGTCATGGGACTGGGACAGGGAGCTACAGTCGTGGTGGGACCAACAACTATGCCACAGTGGGGCCAGGATATACTTCGAGCGCCGGCGGAGGGGGAGATGTTTATGGATCAGACCCTTATGTTGCGGACCCCTACCGCACCCTACAATACTGCCCCTCTGTGGTGGAATCTCCTTACAGCAAGTCTGGACCAGCCCTACCACCTGAAGGGAGCCTGCAGCGTTCACCATCCATCGACTCTATACAGAAAGACCCAAGGTAGGATAAAAGCACTGATGTTCAATGAGCTCCAGTGAAAGTTTAGAAATAACACTTAATGTTGTACTAACAGTATACAACAATATTTGCAAACAGGTACATTAGAAATATGTGTTCCTACCCTTTCCTAGAACAAAATTACCTTTGAAAATACAAACTTTAAACAAGTATTAAACATGTTCTTAATTAGGCCCAAAACTATATTATTGTTTTTAATCCATTTTAATTATCTAATATTCTAAGAAACTGAATGCACGTCTCCATAGCTGTAAAAAAAAAAAAAAAAAATCCTCATAATTAGCAGAAACTTAGAAAATAACTTCAGTCTACAATAGAATAAGATTAGTCTTTGTTACTGAATCAATAGAACCTTTCCATATTATTCAAATTCTTTTTAAATTACCACATACAGCGTGTGTTATTTATTGTCAGTATTAAGCTTGAGAATAAAAATGTTCTCACAGATCCAAAAAACTGTTCTTAGTTGTACCATCCTCTGGGTGAATCCTCCATTTTGATTGGCTGAAAAAAAAACGTTTTGTGAGTCATCTAGAAAAACTTTCCTGCAGCAGGTTCTGTGCAAAATAAAATTTAAAATAGTCCACTCAGGCGCTTCTTGAGAGACACATATGATTTTAATGCTTAAGTTAAAAAAATATGACAATTGATCTAATATTTTTTTTTCTTTTTTAAGTGACCGTATGAATGAGATAAAGCCTTTTAAGGTTATCATTATAAGATATGAATTGACTTAACGTAGGGAATTTCATCCCCACTTACTTCATATGTACGAGGCCAAAAAACCTAATACCTCACAGTGTGTTCCTTCCAGTCACACACCAGTTGCATTAGAAGCTCCTTTAATCTTTCTTAGTGACATGCTGGGTGTAAAAAAGCCCTACTGGGCTGCGATCACTTCAATCCTCTTGTCTCCTCAATTAAGCAAAGCTTCATCTCCATCTTTATATATATTTCACCGGACTCTTGATGTATAATTCCTTTAATTAAAAAGGGAGAGAGATAGTTAGACATGTGGATCAAATCTACTGCGATCAATTATGGAAAAAGACAAAAGAATCAGAAGATAAAGAATGAACAGGTACAGTAAAAGAGAAAAAAAAAAAAAAACAGGACAATTTCTCCAACAGCAACAGAGTGGTCTGAAAAAGCAGTTGCCTTCATGGTCTGCCATTTTTTGCATGTTTGTTACACTTAAATGTTTCAGAATATCAAACAGATTTGAATATAGGTCAAAGACAGCACAAGTAAACACAAAATGAAGTTTTTAAAGCAAAGTTTTTTTTAATATAATTTATTGGAAATAAAATTCAATCCTTTTTGGCCCTGTATTAAAAAAAAGTGATATCTAACCCTTTAACTGTGGTTGATCACACTTGAGTTCACTCGTTCTAGCCACACCCAGGTCTGATTACTACCACACCCATTTTCAACAAAGAAATAGCTTGAATAGGACCTGTATACTGAACCAAAAGATAATCAAAACCTAGATATCATATAAAGAAAAAGGAAAAAGAAATCAGCTACAAATAAGAAATAAAGTCAGTGAGATTTACACTCTGGGAAGACTTTCACAGCAATTTCTAAATCCTCTGAATTTCAGCAAACCAGAAATGATTCACAAATAGTGAAAACATGGAACATTGGTGAACTCTCAAAGAAGCTGATTAAATTGACCCCAATAATGCAGCAATTAGTTCTCCAGGAGATACGACCCCACAATATCCAAAGAAGTGCAGGCCTCACTTACTTCAACACTTAGTTAAGGCCGGTGTCCATGCCTCCACAGTTAGAAAGAGACTGCATAAAAAATAAAAGCTAGTCCTGAGCAAAGAAAAAAAAACATTGTTTCAATTCCCACATCTTGATGATCCACAGGACAACAATAAAATATTCTCCAGAATGATGAGACAAATATAGAACTCTTCTTTAGGTGTGTCCCTTTACAGCAGTAAAAAAAAACATTGTACTGACAGTAAAAAAAATATAAATGATAAAAAAAGCATTTTATTTTGTTGGGTTTTGACTTGTGTGGACTTCTAAAAGCTTTTGCATTCAAATATTATTATTGTCTAATGTAGACACAACAGGATATTTAGTTTGGGGTTATATGGTGTAATTTTTTTTTTTCATTAGTAAATTAGGGGAATTTTTGTGTAACATAAAAACAAATGTAAACAGAACGGCACACATATATGCATGAAGTGCTACACTTCGAGCAATACACAAATAAATCAAATTAAATCCTTATTTTCACTTTAAAAAGGTAAAAAAATTGTCAAATATACTAAAAATTAACTGGAGACTGGATGTTTTGTTCAGTTGTTAGAGAAACTCAACAGGAAAAAGAATGTGCTGATTTTACGAAATATAATATTTGGAAACTTTCCAATTCCATGCAACTTACAGATGACATACTTATTATCCTAGGCATAATTTATGAGCGTTTTTCCTTTTTGGTTTAAATTTGGTTCACTGGATATTAGCATTATCTACATAATTAGACGTAGTTAAAATACGATGAAGGGAAACAGATTTAGTTGACTTCAGAAATTCTGCACATTAACACAAGCTGGAATGGGTTTAATCAACCAAATAGGTATCTAAACGTTTCATGAAACACGTATACAGAGAAAAATGTAGCAGATAGAAGACGTGTCCAACTTCATACATTGAATCCAATGCAGGCTTTTGTCTGCTATATATCAATTATGTTAACTTTAATCCTTTTTGGATTTTACTGGGAGACGTTTCTGACTTCTTAGTATTCGAGCAAAGTGCAAAATAAATGCTAAAGCTTTGCAAATCTATTAAATATAATTTTCATTTTTAAAATGGGGCCTATGATCTCTTTCTGCTTAACTTTTGCATTCCGTTGCACAATCCTGTTAGTGTGCCTGATATCAATGAATTGAAGCCATGTGTTACAGTTCCCTTTGTCAGGAGGTTAAATTGCCTCCTACTCAAACTTCACTCTCACTCTTGCTGTAATTGGATCTGGCTGGGCTAACATGAAATGCTAAATGAGTTAGCAGCTATTAGAGACAAGGAATACTCTAAATGAGGGCAGAGGTTATGTGTGTGTATAATACTGTGTTTGTGTGCCAGAGGGGGTAAGATAGAGAGGAAGATGTCTCCCTAGGATGAGATTGTGTTTATTATAATTTATTATTAGGTTTTGTGTATTATTGTGTGTTAAATTGCTGAGTCCATGTCTAATTCATGACAAGTTAAAATTGAAGAACAATGGGCATAATGGTTCTGACAATTTAAAAAGGTGAGGTACCATGATTTATAATTGGATAGTAGAATAATAATAAGAGAAATAGAAAAATGTAAGGAGGAAAATAAGAAGAATTGAGGGAAAATATGTTTAGTAGAGGGGAAATTTGAAAACATAGGGAAGGTAAATGAATACAGATAAACAAAAGCAAGATAAAATTATAATTCCAGTAACTTGATTAAACAGAAGAGTTGAAAAATGTTGATGCAGATAACTTTTGATATCTTTTTTATGTGTTCCCCCTTGGCGTGCACCCTCTGTGAGAAGAGTCTCACCTCTCCTACAGTAGTTCTTTATTTTGAAATAAATATTAAAGAATTATGTAGAGAATCCAGATTTACATAGACTCATAACCAAAAGACGCATTAATAAAAGTAAGAATTTGAAAAATTGTTGAAATAATACTGAACAGATTAAAGCATCATTAGATGATATTTAGTGAGAATCAGTGTTGAAAACAAAAGTGTAGATTTGAGATAAAGAGAAAAGACATTGGCTTGTAACACAGCAGAAACTTTTGTGTTTGTGATTTGTTTTATTGTTTTTGATTTCATTTTATTTGTTTTAATTTATTTAATTTTTTAAAACCTTTTAACGTTATGTTGTTTTTATAAAATTATAACTTTACCTGATATGTACATCACCTTGTGGCAGCTGTGGTTGTGTTAAAGGGCTTTTTAAACCAAGTTGAGTTGAGTTAAAGAGGAATGAAAATTAAAGGGAAAAACAGATTGACTTTAAATCACAGAAGATGGGAGTTAGGGACTGAAGATATGGATATTTGGATTATTGCTTCAAAGCTTTTAAGCTTTGGGGTGGGGGTGGGGATCATTTCCCAACCAAAAGTTAAAGAAGCTAGGTGGCAGTTTTACATTTCTAATTTAGAGATAAGATTCACTTATACATAGATTTATTCAAGCAGAAACACTGCTTCAAAAAGATGGACAGCCCTCAATTAAACCAGTCTAGTTTATTACATTCATTACTGCAAACATATCTGGACAGCATTAATGTATGGTGGTAATATTACTAATGGTACAGATATTTAAAATCTAATTTAAAGCTTAATCCTAAAATAATGTCGGCTAATAAAAGTTCCTAATTTCACCCTAATTACTCAACCTCCTTCAAAACATACTTCAATTAACCAGTTAGGATTTCAGAAATAAATATTCTCAAGCACAAATGTCTGTAAATTATGGAAAAAGAAACTCCATATGCCCCATGTAAGTGTACTGTTGTAATGAAATTGCTATTTATGGTGTGCTGACATGATGTGATCTGCTATGACATGTCAATTTGACCGCTTGCTATTTATTGTCAGTGTCATTTTGGCTTAAAGCCCAAACCCACACCACTATTTCTGGAAAGGGCTTGGTTGTCAGAGGTGACTTTACGGTGCAGGGGTTCTCATGTAAGAGACATCCATGAGAAAGTAATTAATGATTTATCAATTGCAATGCCTTCAATATTACAAAAAATAAAGGCATGCTAATGTTAGTATTTGTTCAGAAGAGTGATGGCTCTTCAGACTAGTTCAGTTTTTATTATCATGAAATAGAAGATTGCGTGTATTCTTTTCTTGTGGCTTATGCAGAAGTAGATTGTTTTTGGTGTACAATGGAGAATTTGCATCAAAAGTGAAAGATTAACAAACAAAAAAAAAAGGGTTACTAATTTCTTTGACTGGATTGCAGTG